AAACCCAGGCTGCCACTGCGTATGGGAGAGTGGGAAGTGGAGTGACGCTCAGCACGAAATTTATGTGTAAGCCACTGTTCAGATTCATAAATATTTGCACCGTACGTGTGTGGGTTTGAGTGTCAAAAACAAAAACAAAAAAACCAACAAACTAAAACTGTATCCTCTATCTGGTCTGACTTGCTAGAAAGAAGCCATACAGAGGGTTAATAATGGGAGCCAAAAGGCAGTTTGGGTCCCTTGGCAGAAGAAATCAATCATGGATCTTTTTCGTTTTGTATTTTAGTCTTTTCTCCAGTGCCCAGAACAAGGTACAACATCGTTGTCCTAAATTCACCTTGATCTCCGCTTCCCCCCCCACCCCCGCCCACCTACCACCTCACCCTCACCCCCGCCAACCTAAGCTTGGTAAGTGGACCACACAGTCTCTTGTTTCCTTCTTTCTACCTGGATGTTTTTCTTATGAAGATGACCTTCATCTCTTTGGTCTTGAGTTCCAGGATCTCTAAGCTCTGCTCAAAGGTGCACTGCTGTTTGCAGTGTTTGCAGCATCAGAGACCAGAATACACTATGAGAATGTGATCGATCACCTTGGGGGGTTTAAGCACGCTGAATCCTCTTACTTGTATTTCCTCACCTTCAAATCAAAGACAGGAATGCATCGCGAGAGGCAGGTGTTTTCTTGTCCTAAACCTTAACTTATCCTTAGATTTTTTATCCTTATTTCCTGCCTGATGCACCAAAATAACACCAACTCATTTTCTTGCCAGTCCTTATCCATTGCAGGGATTCAGAACTTTCTCTGTGGCCTATATAATGCTATAGCATAGCCACATAATACAGACAACCTAAAGCCCTTATGGAGAGCTTATATTTATAGAGGGATCATATTTTGGAACCTACAATGTAATGTAAGGCACAAAATTCCTGTAACCAGAGCACTAGCTATGCTGAACTATGGAAGGCTCTAGGTAAAACTGGCATAGGTAAAGCTCACTGGCTGACTTACAAAACACTACCACAAATGTCACTGGATTCAAACACAAATCATATTTTGAAATATCTTTCGAGCTCTCTCACCACTAAGATAGCTTTAGGGATACATTTTTTGTTACTCACTGTCAAGGCTAAGTAGACTTCTCTTGCTCTCACTGGCTCACTGAGGTAGACTTGGGTAAAGTGGTTTCTTTGGTCTGTTGTATTGTGTATGCCTCCCCAAGAGAAGTCATGTAGTGCTCCCTTTCCAATAATATTCTGTCTGAGGTCCTAGCCAGTGTGAAGATGCCACTCACATTCAAGGTGAGCCATCCTTTCTCAGCTAATTCTCTGGAAATATCCTCAAAGACTAGCCAAATCTAGTCAAGTTAAATAAAGATTAACCTATACACACTCCTAATGCAAAGTTGTTTAAATACAATAAATAATATATTGACTCTTGTATTGAGTGCCTGTGCGCTTAAAAAAGTGAATTTAGAGTCAACCAGCTTACAATTTACAATTTCTTATTTCAAAAAATTATAAAGAATAATTGACTTGCACAAAGATCCATGGCATGGACAGTGAGCAGCTCTCATAATGAATTCAATTTCTGAAAAAAATGTATAGTAATTATGTGTCATTCTATATTGAAAATAAATTTAGGCCACTCATGCTCAACAAGAGAGAGAGAGTAAAGGTCAGCTAGAGATGTCTAACATGGTCATGGAAAATCCCTAGGGTTTAGATCACTGTTGGAGACCTGACTTCCATCACTGGGCAGCCAGTTCCTAAGAGACACATTTGTCTTCATCTGAGTGCTTTGAAGAAAAACAGGGAGGTGCATACAACCTATGAGCCACTGTTGTGTCTTTAGTTTGTATTCCTGCATAGTCAGGGTGATAAGATTATTTGTAGTAGTAAACAAAGACCCATTCAAACTTAATCAACTAACTAATGCAATCCAGTATCCATAGTAAGGGATACTCAAAACCTCCTAGTTCTACATGGAACACCTGCTCTTCTGTTTCTGCCAAACAATTGCATGTGTCACTTATTTGACAGGCCCATTGATGACTATCTCTGAAGGACACAGAGGGGGGGAGAAGGAGAGAATGAAAGAAAGAGGTGAGAGGTAATAAACATGTACTTGGGTCCCAGCCAGCCTCATCTGTAAGAAGGCAATCCTAGCACGACTAGTATAGGTAATGGGAGCTGTCTTTATGTATATATGTTTCTGTTATTGGTTGATGAATAAAACACTGATTGGCTGATTGGCCAGGCAGGAAGTATAGGCAGGGCTAGGAGATTAGGAAAATTCTGGAAAACATAAGCAGACAGAGGCATCATGTGAGAACAAAAAGAGAGGACATGCCAGGCACTCCAGTAAGCCAAGATCATGTGGGAAAACATAGATTAATAGAGTTGGGTTAATAATTAAGAACAGAGCTAGCCAATAAGAAGCCCAAGCCACTGGTCAACAGTTTCATAATTAATATAAGTCTTGTGTGTTTACTTGGCGCTCAAGGGCTGTGGGACCAACCAGGTAAGAAAACTCTGCAACAACTAGGATTTTGTTAATCTACTTGGTTAGCTTAAGAAAGAACACTAGTGAGTTTCGTGTGTGTGTGTGTGTGTGTGTGTGTGTGTGTGTGTGTGTGTGTGTGTGTGATGGAAATTCTAGATTAGCCACGTGTCAGGAGACTCATCCTGATCTCAAATGTCACCATCTGGACGGGCTAGGGTCCAAGACCGAACAAAAATGGAAAGAGCAGCAAGCTACCTGTGATACATCAATCAGCGAATTGTGTAAGCAAACAGTAGTAACTAAATCACTGTAAGGACTCAATAAATGTAGAAGACTTTGGTTTATTTGTACATTTTAATAAATTAGTTGATGAATCTGAGGTAATTGTTGGGGAGTGGATTCTTGGATGTCAGAAATTTATCCAGTAGCATCCTCAATAATTGATCAATTTTCTTAAGAGTTCAGTACAGGATCAAGTCACATTCTGTGTCTTCTCCAATTCCATGATGCTGAGCCTAAAGGGTGAAAGTCATTGAGTTTCATAACTCACTCATGATGGTCTTGTGAAGGTATCCTGGCATAAGAAGCTCAATAGTATGTCCTCTGAACCTCTTCAGTTCTCTCTACTCTGATCTCTCACCTAGGAGTTGGAGCCATGGGATCGTTTTGTGTGTAGGGGGGAGGGAAACATGAATAAAGTTTGATGATACATAGGTATGAAAATGTCATAATGAAATCCATTAATTGGATCCTAACTTATAA